CTGGATTCCCTAGTAACTGCATCACACATTAGCCTTTTGCTGGGGAAAAAGGCATGAGGGACGGAGACAATATCCAGTTCAACCAAGATTTCGTTAGCTACGACCTGCCTTTGCAACTCCAACTAGGTATCGGGGGAATCACCTTCTGCTTCGCACAGACACGATGATGCTGATGACCCCCTGCACATGAAGGGAGTTGTGCATCTGTCCTGCCCCAGCAACTGCTGATTTGCTCCGACTAGAGACGGTATTTTTATGTTGTACAAAGAAGATTTCTAATGAGCTTCAGAAGCAGACATGGGATGTGCCCGTTTCTAGGGAAACCTGAGTTTTGGAAAGCTTGCGGGTTTCAATTCGGAGCTCGCATCCCTGCACACAAGGTGGCCCATTGTGTAGCGACAGTCTCCTCCTCGTCCCATTTTAAAAAATTAACGCAACCGTGTGAGCTGATTGTTGATGTTCGTTATTAAATCATTTATTCATCCCACACAATGATTCAGAATTATTCATTTAGTGTGCTGGAAGGATGTGGGGTTTTACCTGCAACTGTGGTTTGGGGAGGGATTGGTTCCTTACAAGGGTATTTTATAACAACACAATTATCATAATTAAAAGCTACCCTGATATTCTGATGGGCTTTTGACATATCTCTGAGTACTGGCTTTTCAGCATAGGAGACAGACGAGTAGTGCTGAGGTACAGCAGGGAAGCCGGAGGGCATATTAAATACCACCTTTCATTGGCAACCCCGATCCTGTCGTGGTCTGTATGTTCATCATGCTTACAGACCATCACTTGAACTTCTGGCTTTCTGAAAGGAGCTCAAAAGATGTGGCTGGGACCTGTACGGTTTTCTGCATTCCTGGTCTCAGAGACTGATGCCCCCACAGAGCCCACCTGTCCTGGCCTCCCACACCACAAGGGCTGCTTGGCCGTAGCTACATCTGCTGACGCTGCCCAAGGCTTGCTCTGTGTCTGAAAGGCTGTTCACCTAAGGGCCAGGTGGGATGAGCACCCATCATGTTGGGTGTCCTTAAGTCAGCGCCTTTAGCTGCTGATTCCAAGACTGGTGGCCAGGAGGAGGATGCCTCCTCCTTCACCAACAGGTGGCGCTCTGAGGGTGTGAGGCTGGAAGGCCGGCATCTGGATCAGAGCAGAGGGTCCCAGAGACCAGCGGGCTACAGAAACTGGGCCTGGGAGTGCCGGCGCCGGGAACTGGAGGGCTGGCGTGTCACATGCCTGGCATGATGTGGGTGCTCCACAAGTTGTGTGAGCTGTCACTGTCAGCTATGAGGGGAGGCCCGAGACACAGACACTGACCCATTCCTTCCTTCTACAAATACTGGCTAAGCTCGCGCCAGCAGCTAACCCTGAGCCAGGCCTCCCCACCACAGAGATGAACGGAACACCGTCCCTGCGTTCAAAGGACTACCATTCTCCAGGGGGAGTCACACAAGGTACACTTAATGACCCGTGTGACAAGTGCTGGGATCTAGCAGAGCTGAGGAACAGCCTGGGGCCAGGTGGGGCACCTCTACACTTGGAAGGGGTCAAGGCTGAGCAGGCATTGGCCAGGTGAAAGAGAAGAGGCCACAGTGGGCAGCAGAGGTTGGGAGGGGTGCCAGATGCCATGGTCAGGAGCTCAGAGGTCGAGATGGTGGCCCTCACAGGGGCTTCAGGTCCTGCAGCATCAAGTGCCTCAGGCCGCCAGACAGACAATGATGGAATGGGGGCAACAGATGACAAAGGAAGTCCGGGTCGGAAGTGCTGCTAAGACCCTAACGAAGGGCACAGACTGGAGCAACATGGGCAGCCCCAACTCACAGCGAGGAGTCTTGGTGTGGCGCTGTGGGCTAACGTGTCAGACTGCAAAGTCGTTTGAACTGCAAGGTCGGTGGTTCAAGCTCATCAGCTGCTCCTTGGATACCCTGTACAGGGTCGTTATGGGTTGGAATCACCTCAACGGCACTTAACAACAACAACAACTCACAGTAACCCCATAACAATGGCAGGATACTTGGCCCAGTTCTGCACCAGCAGATCACTGGAACTTTCTTCCTGGTCCATCTTAGTCCCCAGAACCCTGGTCAGCATCCTAGCAACACACACAAGTCTCCACATACAGCCAGACAGGGGTGGAGGCTGTGCATGGGCTGCCCTGACCGGGAGCCACACCCATGCCTCCCTCATTCTTGTTAAGGGCTGTCAAGTCGGTTAGGACTCAGTGAGTGGCTGGTGGGCTTGAACCATCAACCATGCAGTTTGCAGTCTGGTGCTTATCCTACAGCGCCACATTACACAGAATTCTACTGTTGGACCATCACTGCTCCCCACTGTAGAGTTACCCACTGGGGGTCTTAAAAAGTTTTCAAGCAGACATCTAAAATGCAACTGCTGGTCTCTTGCCATCCAGAATAAAGAAGAGTGAAGAAAAGTCAAAGACTCAAGGTAACAATGAGTTCAAAGGACGAATGGCCCTTGTGAACCATAGCCACCACCAGCCTGAGACCAGAAAAACTAGATGGTGCCCGGCCACCACCAGCCTGAGACCAGAAAAACTAGATGGTGCCCAGCCACCACCAGCCTGAGACCAGAAAAACTAGATGGTGCCCGGCCACCACCAGCCTGAGACCAGAGAACTAGCTCGTGCTCAGCTCCCACTACCAACTGCTCTGTTCAGGGTAACAGTAGAATATTCTGGACAGAGAGGGAGATAAAACATCTAGAACAATTTTCAAAATCATAAAAAAGACCAGAATTACTGGCATGTTAGACTATAAACTTCACGCCTGGAAATTAACTCACCTCCAGGGATCAACTTTCAACCAAACAACTGCCAGGCCTACAAAGTGAGTAAGAACACCCGGAGGAGTATGCTCCTCAGTACAATCAACCACACCAGTCCAAAAGGGCAGCGTTTGCCCAAAAGCACAACTCCGAAGGCAGGTGGGACAGGGGAGAAGGTGGAATGGAAATGGAGACCCCAGGAAGGAAGTGGGAAGAGTGCGGCTAGGTTGGGGGAAGATCACAACTAAGGCTGCAAAACAAAACGTGTATGAATTGTTGAACGGGGAACTGATGGCTTTGTACATTTTCATCTAAACCACAGGAAAAAGTTCAAAAAATTTAAAAAGGTAGAATTAAAGAGATATGGGGGAGCTTTCTCAGGGCTCCGAGCTTGTTGCCATGACTCTGACTGCTCTCCTCAGCCTCACGCCCACCAGGAACCTTCTGATTGTAGCCTGGCTTCCCCTGTGGCTCTCCACTAAGCCGTGATGGAGGTAGCCTCTGTGAGCAGTGACCATCTGAGACCCCTCGGAGACACAAACAGCCTCTGCGTCCTGAGCCCACTGGGCTGTGGGCCTGGCAGTGCACCCCGAAGAATGCCATGCTCTGGGACTCTGGGTGTTGGTGAGGAGGCCCTGTTGGAGCTCTGGGTCTTCTCTCTAAATGACTACATACCCTTAGGCCTCCAGGTCTGGGGAGGTTTCTGGGAGGCATTTGCTCTGTCTTGAGATGGGGAGTCCTTGGGGATGAAAAGTGTTACTATGCTCGGCTGTTAACCAAAAGGTTGGAGTTCACTTGATGGTGCCTCAGAAGAAGGGAATGGCAATCTACTTCTGAAAAATCATCCATTCAAAGCCCTGTGAAACAACATCTACTTTGACATAACTGGTGTGACCATGGGTCGGAGTCAGTTTGATGTTCTGTTTTTTTTTACAATGGGAAACAGAACCAGGTGCCATACAGAACGTTCCGGAGCATGGAGATTGGTCATGAGGTTGGCATGCGCATCACTTAGCTCTGGATAGGTAAGGAATTGTCCTGGGGGCATCCACTGCTCTCTTGGGCATTCTTCGGTTCATGTTAGTCTCTGTGGTGTGCAGCAGTCTTCCTGACGTTTCATTTCCTTAGCATCGAAGGACTTCCCGCACCTACTCAAGCATGGCGTAAAATTTCAAAGTTCTTAATAGATGCCTCCGGCTTCATCTCCATGAACAGTTGGAAAATGTCTCCAATTAGGCAAGCTTTCTGAAAACGTCTCTAAGTACAGAAAGCCCAATGTGCTTTCGCATGCTAACGCGTTTAATGTACCAAGACAAAAAGGAAAATCCTTGATTTTTTTTTTTAAATGAATGCTTGCTCCTGGGGTCAGCACTCATCTCTCCCCCGACCTCACGCCCATGCCATAACAAAAATGTGAGTGTCATTAAGTTTGAGAAAAGGATGAAGTGCCCTTAGGGGAGATCTGAAAGGAGGAATCAGGACCAGGACACCATGGTCAACACCGGGTTCCTGCAGGGGTGGCCGGAGGAGACATGGGGCTGTGGGTTGGTGCCTCAGCTGACATGGTGTAAAGACCACAGAGGGCCATTCTAGGTGTGTGTGTGTGAGTGTGTCAGAGGATTCACTAAAGCTCTGCAGCAGGGGAGATGGGCCTGAAGGCATCTCTCCCTCCCAGTAAAAACCACTTCCCAGGGTTTCCTGGGTCACAGCTCACTGCTGCACTTGGGGGTGGGGGGCTTGGCTCTTACAGACCACCTAACCTTGAGCAACTTCTTGCTTTCTGGAGAAATGAGAAAAGACCCCCGACCCACCCACCCATATCGCCCCATCTCCAGAGGCACAGGCATCCAACTCAGACCTCCCCTCCACGCCCCCACTCTCATCCAGTCCTCACACCCATCCTATGAGAGCTACTATTGCTGTTCCCATTTCACAGATGTGAGCACTGAGGCTCAGAAAGATTAGGTAGCTTCCCAAGGCCGTACAGCCAGTGAGTGGCAAAGCCAGGATTAGAGCCCCACCGCCACCACCCACTGCCATTGAGTTGATTCTAACTCACAGTGACACGATAGAGGAGGTAGGACTGCCCAAAGCCCTGTCCTCTCTCTCCTCCTCTCTCTGCCAAGCTGCAGAGGGAGGGTGGGAGAAAAATCTAGAAGCCCTCTCTCTAGGGTCCATTTCACCAACACACCTGTGATCCCGGGGCCTCTTACCTGCTTTGATGAACTTGTCCGCCATCTCCTGACGGACTGACGTGGTGAGGTTGAAGTAGTCATCATCTTCGTCGATGCGCTGGAGGAACAGCGGAATGTGCTGGAAGACAATGGCGTGCTGGCAGGCGCGCTTCCCCGCGGTGCTCAGCTGCTCCTCCAGCCAGAGGTCCTGGGCCTGCTTCAAGGCAGGGCACCGGGAGGCATCATACAGGAACTGGGAGTTGAGGACTAGGAACAAGACGCCCCCAACCCAGAAGCTGAAATAGTCGTCTCCCCACGTCTGGCAGAACTCCGAGACAGACTCAGCTGTGGGGACGTTGCCAATGTCGTGGTTGCCGCTGACAAAGACCAGTGGGATCTCACTGTGCACACCCTTGAGCACTCGCTGCAGGTCCGCTGTCTGCTCCTTCCTCCAGGGCATTCCTGGAAGAGCAAGGTCAGGTTTTCAGACCAGCTGAACAGTTACTTGTGCATTGACTAACACAAGGTTACTAACGTTGACTTAAGAATCCACATGGAAACTATAAAATGTAATATGAGATACAAGCAAAGCAACCAGTGAGCTGGGAGCAGCTGTCAGTTCCTAGAGGTAAACTTTCGACCCTGGAATCTAGTGTCGGGCGACAGCAGGCGTGGACCCTAACACTCAGCACTTACCGCAGGCTGCCGCCAAGTTGCTATTCTCTCACGGTGTGTCAGAGTGAAACGGAGCACATAGGGTCTCCAACATTCAACTACTGTTATTGTTTTGTGTTGCTGAGTCAGTTTCAACCCACAGCAACTCTAGACAGGGCTTCCGAGGGCAGCTGGTGACTTTGAACTGCCAACCTCATGGCCACCAGTCCAGTGCTTATCCAAAAACTCCACACCAGGTTATGCTGCGTCAAGTTGCTTCAGAATAACAGTGACCCTGTGACGGGTTTCTGAGGCTGTAAATCTTTGGGGGAGTAGAAAGCCTCCGCTTTGTCCCACAGGTCGGCTGGTGGATTCAAACTGCTGACTTTGCGGTTAGCAGCCCAATGCGTAACCTACTAAATCGCCACGGCGCTTCATTCAATTATTGCAAACTGACAAGTCAGTTTCGACTCAGTCACCATGTATAGGGTTTTGAGGCTGAAAATCTTTATGGGAGTAGAAAGCCTCATCTTTCTCCCTCAGAGCCAACTGCTGACCTTACCATTAGCAGCCCAACACATAACCCGCCACACTGCCAGAGCTCTACCTTCAGCTACTGTTGTTTTAAGTGCGGACTCAGAGCGATCCTGGACAGGGTTTCTGAGGAGCGGCTGGTGAGTCTGAACTGCCGACCCGGTGGTTCAAACCGACTTTGCAGTCCAGTGTGCTATCCCGCAGGGCCACACCAGAACTGTTTCATTTCTATCCTTCACTTAGATGAAAAAATAAATACTAAGTTGTTCCACCTTCTCACCTCATTTCTCAACAAAGCATCCTTCGCATGGAACCAGCTTTAAAATCTAGTCCCCAACTTAAACCTATTTAAACCTTTTCTGGCCAGTTTACGATAAACATCCGTAGACACGTGACCTCGTAGACTGCGTGAGCATCCTCGTGGGACACATTCTTAGAAGCGTTACGGCTAGATGAACTGGCAAGTGCATGGTGCCCAATGCCCCACTAAAGAAAAAGGTGTTTTCAGTTCCCACCAACACTGGGGATGGGAAGGGGAAGGGACATGCTATTCTGCAACACCGGAAATCTGAATGGGGAAGAGAATCTGGACAAAGAGTGAGGATGTGTGTGGACAAGCGAGACCTTCCTCCCTTTGACTGCAAGCTGCCACACTCCTGTCCCATGAGCTTTTATTACAAATGGAGTCTGAAATGGGCAATTCAAAGCGTCCTCTGGTTTTTGAGCCCCATTTACGCTAATTTTCAAAAAGCCCAGGTGAAGTAGTGAGCTAAGGGTTGGGCTATTAACTGAAAGGCTGGCTGTTTGAACCCAGCAGCTGTTCTGAGGGAGAAAGATGAGGCAGTCTGGTTCTGGTAAGGACTTACAGCTTGGATGCGCTTGGGAGCAGTTCTCCTCTGCCCTACAGGGTTGCTCTGAGTTGGAAGCAGTGGGTTTGGTTTGGGGTTTACGCTCCTTTTTTGACACCTGGCTGTCAGTCTGTCTAACTGCAGAGCCTTGCACATTGCTGTGCTGCTGGCAGCTCTGTCACTCATGTGTCAAATGCTATCAGTCACTCAGAGTGGGCAGGTTTCCGGGGAGCTTCCAAAAGACCAGGAAGAAAGTCCTGGTGATTCACTTCTGAAAATTAGTCAATGGAAACCTTGTAAGTCACGCTAATAGTGTAAGCTTTGGGCACATCACTGGGTGGGATGATGGGGGGGGCAATCACTGGAGGAGAACATCATATTTGGTGACGAGAGGGTGGGTCCGTAAGGAGCCCCTCAACCACAGTGATGGACTCAAACATGTGGCATTCCTGAGGATGGAGTGGGCCTGGGCAACATGCTGTGGGTCAACTTCCCCAAGAGTATTCAGTCAGCTAATATTTACTGAGTGTCCACTATGTGTAAGGCACATGTCCAGGTGCTGCAGAGGGAAGCCGTGAACCAACAGATGCACATGGGGAGTCAGAGAACCTGTGAGAAACACAGCAGGGGCCCAGCCATCAGGATGGAAGGTCCACAGGTCAAGAGATGCCACCGGACTCTGGTAGGAACGACGGCAACTCACCCGAAAAACGCTACCATGAGCAGAGGAAGATCAGATCCAGCATGCCACCATGCATTAAAATGTAAGAGAGAACTATGACAGCCGAGATGGAAAACATGCAGCAGAAATAAAGCAGCCGAGACCAAGATGATCCAAACAGACGGAGGTGAGGCAGGGACTGGCAGGGGGAACACGGCAAACAAACTTTCAGGGCAAAGACAGAAACCACTCCAGGCATGGAGGAAGGTACCAAGAGGTCAGCGAAGAAAAGGAAGACTCCCAACGAGATGGACTGGCCCAGTGACAGCAGAAATGGGCTGAGGCTTAACGATTGGGAGGTTGGCCTAGGACCAGGCAGTGTTCATTCTGTGGTGCACAGGGTCGCCAAGAGTCGGAACTGACTCGACGGCACCTAACAACAGTAACCAAGCCATGTGCAACAGAGCAGACCCCTGCCCGACCCTGCATCCTCCTCCTCACAATGTTTCCTGTGTATGAGCCCCCCTTTGTTGAAGCTCTGTGGTCAATTCATCTTTTGAGGGTCCTCCTCTTTTTAACTGACCTCCTAGCCAGCATGATGCTCTTCTCCAGGGACTGGTCCCTTCTAGCAACATGTTCAATGTACATGAGACGAAGCCTCGGCATCCTCTTCTAAAAAGGCTCATATATCTGAGGGAGCTTCAAAAGGTTTGTGCAGAAGTTCCATGAAATTTTCACTCACATCCCCCATGAATTTTTGAACCCCCTTGTATTCTTATATTGTGGATAAAACTTCTCCAGAGACAGAGAGAATTGGGAACTGTGTTTCATCCTGGGAAACTGGGGTGGAGAGGGGAGAGAGGATTTGTTGTTGTCATCATTAAGTGCCATGGAACCAGTTCTGCATCACAGAGGCCCTGTACAGGGGTTCTGAGGCTGTAAATATTATTTTTCTTGCCTAGCTCACTCCCTTCTTTCCCCCATGCTTGTGAGTTATTTCATAATTAAAACAAAACAGCAAGCAAAAAGAACTGGAGTTATTTTTAGCCTCAGGGACCCTACCATCCAAGAAGATTCAGAAGAGTCCAGGTGGCTGGCTGCTTTTCCTGAGCAGTAGGGTTTGTTGGGGACGGTGGAGTCTCAGGGCTGGAGGTCTGTTCACAGCCAGCATCCCTCCCTGCTGGTCCTGATGAGAGACCTGGGCTCTTGGTTCAAAGCAGCCACTGACTAAGAGCATCTGTGTCACCTTACGCAAGCTCTTTAAGATTCCACTGTCCACTGGCTGGTTCTCTTGAGAGAGAGAGAGAGAGAGAGAGAGAGAGAGAGAGAGAGAGAGCAAGCGAACACAAAGCAAGTCCTTTGTGTTCTCAAAGATGACATCCGATCTCAAAGAGGTTCTCTGAACTCAGGTGAATTTACTACCAGTCTCATGACCAGTTTGCGAAAGGACCCCAAAAGTCACCCCTAGTTTTCCCTTCTTTGCCTTCACACTGACCTGGTAGACTGTTGGATACCCAGTAACCAGCAGTCTATGGACCAGTGCTGCTGTGAGGGTGCAGGGTTGGGATTTGAACTCTGGCCTGGCTCAGGGCGCTGCCTCTCCTGACAGTGTCTTGAGGATGCCCCCCACACTCAAGTCCTAGCTCCCAAGGGGACATTTCCCTCAGGCATTATAACACACTGGGGTACACTGCCCCCCAAATGTACTTCCAAGGGCATTCACCAGGGCACTTCCTGTGCAGACAGAGACCAGTAAGGGGAATTTTCTAGTAATTAAGGACCACAAACAGAACCGCTAAAATGAGGCTGAGAGAAGAAACATTTGCTGACAACTTGAAGACGGGGCCTGTCTACAATTGCAAACCAAGAGGTGTGAATGGATGGATCGCTTCCTTCCAAACCTTACAGAGATGCTGCTTTAGGGGAAATAACCTGTGAGGAACCCACAGAGTCCCTTCCTCCATGAGTCTACTCAACCAAAGATGAACTTCTCCAGCCCTTCCTATACTGCTCATCTGGAACCAAGTGGGGTGGGGTCACGGGTGCTGGATCTGGAATCGGGGAGACCTGGCTGGGTCCTTGGTCCTCAGCCCTCCCAAGCTGTGTGGTGGTTTGGGTGAGTGCCTTCTTTCCAGGAGCCCCGGTCTCATTCCGTGAGAAATGGGGATCATGATTCCCACACTTGAGTGATACCAATTAGGATTTCCCGAGGCCGGCACAGAGCACCTCTGCGGAAATGTCAGTTGCCTTCCCTCCGCCCCCACACTCACATGTAATCAATTCTGCCTTATTATCAGTGATCCACAGTGCACATACCACAATAAATCATTTCTGAAGGAATCAGAAAATTCTCCAGGGATATAAATAGTCTCTAGGTAGAAGGGAAGGAGTAGATTCTAGATGACAAAGAGACAAATTGAATGAAAACATTTCTGTTATGTTCAATAAGCTCTCCAATTGTGGGTATTAGATAAAATCTCTTTAGGGTCAGAATATCAATAACACCTTAGCATTAAACAGAATCCTAAAGAATTAGTCATCATATTGTATATCAAATGTTTGAAAAACCAGAACCAAGTAAGACCCCAGCAACCTTGCAAAGAATCCAAGTTCCCAATCATTTTTTATCTATCAAGCAGGGCCCTGGGCTTTATAGTAAAGATATATAGAAAGACAGGACAGGAAGCGAGGCTGGAAAGAAGGGACTGGAATTTGGTGAAGGGAGAAATACTCCAGTCACCCGTCAGTCTGTGCCTATCGTGTAG